TTCCATTGACCTTGATTTTCCTAAATGTGTAATGAACAACTAGCAATAAAAAAAAAGAAAGAAAGAAAAAAAGTATGTTTGCTGTGCTTTTCATCCCGTCTGCTGCAGCCTTAGTGGTGTTTAGTGTACCGAGTGTTGTGGAAGTTTTCCATTTAAATAAAGCCTGCAGACGAGCGGTAGCTAACATTCTTTAATCCAAACACACAAAGAACAGAAAACCAAGCTTGTGGAGAGCCTACATGACCGCGGGGCAGGTCAGCAGAGTCTCCCTGAGCCTAGCATGGCTCTCAGTTAAATACCTTCTTCAGGAACAAAAGGCAGTACACAGCTGTTTCACACCTTAAGGTTCACACTCCCTTGCTACCTCCCAGAGTCCTCAAAGAGACAAAAGACTCTTCCTGTGGCGTGGTCTGCTTCCCCCAACTTCCTTACTACACCCCCACCATTTGTCTTACAGTATGAGTGTCAGACATGTTAAAATCCAGTGGCACCAAGGCATTATGCAATAAAATAATGTGATTAATACATAAGTAAAAGAAATTCCTATACATGAGACCAAGGAAAGAATCAATGGAAAATAAATTTGAAACATAGTTTAGCTTGGCGATATACCTTGGTAAACACTGATACACCCTCTCAGTACAGAAAATCCAACGTTAACCCTGAAGTTGGGTTTCTAGTCTGCTCTTTGAAGAGGATGAAGAGTGGAAAGGCAGTTGGTCCAGATAACATACCCATGATAATACAGAGAGGAGTGGACTAACTAACCAGAATGTTTAACACGGTCTTGGAAAGTGAGAGGATACCTCGGAAATGAAGAAGAAACTGGTACCGATTTTCAACAACAATGGTGATGTGCAGACCTGTAGTAACTAAAGGGGAATAAAGCTCATCACCCATACCATGAAGATATGAAAAATAGTTTATGAAGCTAGTTTAAGAAAAGCAGAAGTATGCAAAGAAAAAGCACTACAGATATCAGGTTGTTAGGTCCATGACAGTATGAACCCTGTTTCCAGGTCCAAACTACTCTGCATGTATTAAGGCTGTTGTGTTTTTAACACGTTTTAATCTTTGTATCTTGATCTATTTAATCTGAAGAACTGATCACTATCTGCCTCTCTCGGCTCTTATTTCCACTATTCATTGGTAGCATGTTTGCTTAGTTTTTAAAACCTTACTATGCAGCATTAATGACTAACCTTGTATTGTGGATGGATTATCTTCATTGTTCTCTTGACTGAAGTTTGCCGGTTGCATTTGTCTCTAACCATCGGGAACCCTCGCGTTAACTTTCATTGAGTGGAAGAAACGTTAGTGTTCATCCTCCAGCTTCACTGCGTTTATATACAGCTAACCATAGCTGTGTCGCAACTCGCCCGTGATCACGTAGCACATCGTTATATACCAGCTAGTCCAACTTCTTCATTTATGTTGGAAGCGATGGCTGAGCTGTACTTTGTAATTTTTTAGAAATCCCTCTGTCATAACATGGTATATCACCTTTAGATGGGCCTCTTTGCTTAGGCTGCTGCCCCCGCGACCCGGCCCCGGACAAAGCGGATGAAAATGGATGGATGGATGGAAACTAGTGAGCTAACTCCCTCTGTTAAACTTCGTAAATTCTGATTTCACGAATGCCTGGATGTTAAACTTATTTGTTACACCTTGTAGAGCAGCCACATTGATCATTTTATTAAAGATTAGATGAATTTAGACAGTTTGGAACTCTCAGTGACCCTGCAGTGTTCGTTTCACTTTGGGACCTGAAGCGGAGTTTGGACCCAGAAAAAGCTAATGACGTCAGACTTAAAGACCAGATAATGTTTGCTTTGAGAGTGTTGATGGAGAAGTACAGAGGAGGTCAGAAGTTGCGGTGCAGCTCACTGTGTCTTGGTGGATCTAGAGACAGAATGTGATAGAGTGCCAAGACAGAAACTGTGGTACTGTATGAGGAAGTCAGAAGTGGCAGACAAGTATGTGAGAGTGGTGCAGAACATCTATAAGGACAGAGAGACAGCACGAGGTATGCGGTATTAGTGTGGACGTGTGATTACATCAGAGATCGTCTCTTTGCTCCTTCGTATTTGGTAGATGAGGTCAGGCAGGACGCTCTACGGACTGTGATGTTTGCAGATCACATTGTAAACTGTAGTGAGAGTAGGGAGCAGGTGGAGTAGGGCCTGGAGAGGTGGGGGTATGCTCTGAGGAGAAGAGGGTTTAAAGCAGAAGCAAGACAGAATACATGTGTGTGAATAAGAGGGAAACAAGTGTAACAGTGAAGCTACAGTGAAGTTACTAACAGAAAGTAACACTATCCATAAACTGTAATCAGTGTGTCCATTCAGAAAATCCTGTCTGAATGCTAGGTTTACATGTTATGCGATGGCAACGTCGGAAATGGAAACGTCGCAGGAAAAACCAAAAGAACATTATTCTCATAAGGTCACATAGTTTTTAGATGTTTGATGTTTAACTGTGTTGGTTTCTACCTGTTTCTAACTATGGCCCAGTTTCCTTCTAAATGATCCTTTAAGACTTGAAGCTACTGAGGGTCATGCCCTCTTTCCGTACTCCCTAGCTGAAAGCCTCTCATCTTTCCATCTCTTTGTGTATGTTCAAGAAACTTTAGTAAAGGGATATGGTGGAAGTTGAGATGAAAAAACCTTTAAGACTGCACTTCACATTTTAGAATAGAAAGTGAGGCAAACCCCCCACATGAGTGCCAAAGGACAGCCAAGCTGGCACAGCAGTGGTTATGATCTGCTTTTAGTTTAAACGTTTATTTACTGCAGGGATTTCATTTTGGTGAATTTAAAAATGTAATAGACAAAAGGGAGCTTAAATATTTGTATGCACAGTAAATATTTCAAAGTGGCAAAGTAAAAAAGAAGTTAAATAGACGGTCTTTGCTTTTATTGACTCTAAAGGTCTAGGCTGGCCACAATCACTTCATTTATGTGTTCACAATTATAAAAGCTGTGCACAGAGTTTGTTTTGTATTTTTTACTGGAGAGGCTTGTAAACCTCTGTTTCTTCCGGGTACAGTAACCTATTCTGTTTTTCTTTTTGCTGATAATGTGACTTTGTAATATAATAAAACCATAAATACTCAGACAAACAAACAGTGAAGTTCTCCTGAAAGTGCCAAAGCCCAGTTTAATACATAGTAAAGTAAAAATGCTTTGTGATGTCATTGAGATGTGGACAATTTTTAACCCTCTGTTCCCTTTCTGTTATGGCCCAGGTCAATTTTTGGACTCTGCAATTATTCAGATTAATATTAATAAGATGTAATGAAAAGAACTTTTGTGTTTCCCTGTCAGTATTCCACTGTCTCTATATTGTATATATTGAGTCTTTTTGTCATGATGTTCACTCTGTGCCATTTATAGAGTTTGCAAAAAAAGAAGAGTAAAGAAATAAATTAAGAATAGCAATCTGTCTGGGGTGCTCCTTTCATACACTGTAAACATTAAAAGAGAGACAATAGTTAAAATTAAAAAATATGTTTCAAAGTTGCAAATTACAATACTATAAAAAACAAAAATCTACTAAACCAAAGGTTCTAATTGTTTATCTACCTGCCTCTGAACAGGCCGCCCACGATCACTTCATGTATATGTGTTCACTGCAATAAAAAGTGTGCACATGGTTTGTTTTGACAGTTGTTGTTTTTTTTACTGAGAATGATTGTAAACTTCTATTTCCTCTTCCTGGTATAGTAACCTATTCTGTTTAGCATTTTGTTCATGATGTGATTTTATAATATAATAAAACAATAAATACTCAGACAAACAAACAGTGAAGTTCTCTGGAAAAGGCCAGAGCTCAACACGTGTCAATAAGTAGTTAAGTGATGTCTTTGAGTTGTGGATAATTTTACCAAAACACACTTGAATCCTGCAAAAACAAGACTTAGAGCTCAATGATGATCTCATAAATAAATAATATGTCTGTCCTGGACCTTGTGTTAGAAATGAAGTAAGCTCACTAATAAAAGGAAAGTCAAGGAGAACATTTATAAATACATTTATAAGCTGCTTAATGTCACAATTTTCCAGAGTTTTCTAATGACATGTAGCTTTTGTGACAAGGATTTAACAGCTGGTTTGATATCATGATAAATATCACACATATCCAACAGGTGTGTATCAATCTGAATGCATGAAAACATTATTAGTGTACTTACTACTATTACTATAATTACTGCGTAGAGTAAAAAGTAAGTATTTCTGTCTCTCTCCTTTTGCATACTTGCACAGAGGCAGTCAGGCGATATTCAATATGCAATCAAATAATAAATGAGTTTATTGATATCCATTGATGTCTATATAAAGCATTGTGAGATCACAAAAAGCTTGATGAAGACTAAATGTATTCAAAAATCATGCAGTTTGTGGGGATAGGTTAAGTGACTAATCTAAATTGCCCATAAGTGTGAATGCAGGAGGGAATGTGAGTGCAAATGGTTGTCTCTCTCTCTCTGTGTGTTAGCCCTGCGACAGACTGGCGACCTGTCCAGGGTGTACCCCGCCTCTCGCCCTATGACAGCTGGGATAGGCTCCAGTGCCCCCCCGCCCCCCCCACAACCCTGAAAAGGATGAGCAGAAGCGAATGGATGGATGGATGGTATTCAAAAATCCATCTATATACCAAAGGTCCAAATTATGTTATTTAATTTATTTTAAAATTTGTATTTACTTCAACTTTACTGGCTGCTATAGCAGAGTCACATATCTCTGTCTGGGTTGACTACATAGAGAGGATCCTTCTGAGAGGGAGAGTTCAATCTGTCTTTGTTTACTGGAGCAGCTCAGGAGTTTCTATTTGGTCCTTCCTGTTAGAGATCTGATTCACCCTGTTTGATTAATCATTATGCTGATATAGCTTTGTGGTACCATAAACATAAATTACACATCAGCTCAGTTCATTGGAATTTGATGTATTTTTCTGGCTCATTTTTAGTGTTATTGTTTAGAGTGGGGTGAAAACACCCTCTCAGGCAGCTATAAAAGAAAGCAGCTCCAACTCTCTGCAGAAATCTGAACATCCTGTACAAAGAAGCTTCAGCAGCTCCTCATCACACTTTGAGACTTAAAGCTCCAACATGATCTTGCTCCTCTTCCTGCTCGGTCTGGCTCTGGGTGCTCCTTCTGAGTCTCCTTCTGATGAAAATGAAGTGAAGCTCCAACTTGGTAACTTTTTTTGTGCATTTTTTTTTGTCTTTTTAATATTATTTAGCAAATAATAGATTTTAAATGCACCTTTATCATGTTTCTTGTTTTGTTTTGCTCAGGATAAATATGTGTTAGTATAATTGGGGATACATGCATTAATTTGGTTCCACGTTTCAAACCTCCAGCAGAACCAGGCTCAGACAGGAGCAGCCATTTGCTGTGACTGGTGGAACTTTAGGCCTCATCAAAAAGAAAAGCTTAATATTAAAAGTAGATTATTGATTATCTGTGTCCTTAATCCAAACTGGCTGATTACACATTAGAGGAGGCTTAAAGTGAAAGGCTCTGCCTCCCATTCTACTTTAATTAACCTCAAAACCACAAGTAAACCAGCAGTCTGAGAGCAGAACAGAGTATTTAATACCTTGTATGTGAGGAGAAAGATTTTATATTTTAATCTGGATTTAGCAGGGAGCTGATGCAGAGAAGCTAATATGTAATGTTTCTTTCTATTCCCTGAAGTACATACAGAAAAGCAGCCTGACACCAGGTCTCTTCAGGTTTCTTCTGTCACTAAAAAACAAATCATGATCTTTTTCCTCTTCTTGTTTCTGTCTTTTTCAGATGACCGAGCAGTGCAGCTCCTGAGAGGAAACTGTCCCCCGTTCTGGTGGAGCTTCAACGGCCGCTGCTATAAGTATGTAGCTACACCGATGAGCTGGTCTGATGCAGAGTTCCACTGTTTGTCACAGGGAGCCAACCTGGTGTCCATCCACAACATGAAGGAAGATAACTTTGTCAGATCCTTGATCAGGAACTTCGATCCTGCTCAGAGACCCACCTGGATTGGACTCAGTGATGTTCACAGAGAGGGCAGATGGATGTGGTCTGATGGCTCTGTGGTAGACTTTTTTAACTGGAATGCAGGCGAGCCAAACAACTTGGCAGGAAAAGAGCACTGTGCTACAAACAACTTTAGCTCACATAAGAAGTGGAATGACTGCCCATGTTATCTCAGTTTTTCATCTGTTTGTTTAAAACGCAAAGACTAATCCAAGATACTAATTCAGCAACGGCATGGTATGTTGACATGTATGGGGATTCCACAAAAAAGATAACAATGTAAACTTTTATGTCAGTTTTGTTGATCTGTGCTTTAAATTGATAAAGTATTCCTACTGTTTCTGTATGTATGTAACCATTGAATGACAGAATCTGTACAACGCTGTTGGCCTAATGACACTTATCAACTTTCACAAAACAGTAACAGGGACAGGCATTAGTAGTTTTTAGTGCATATCTTATCTTAAATACACCATAACTTATTTATGTGATTTGTTTTTGCTTTGACATCAGAACACTCATACAGAGGCCACGTTGTCGTCTTTGTTATGGTTAACCATGAAATTAGTTCACTAATTGTCACCACTAAAGAAATACTTCCTCCTTTTGTTGTCCAGTTGTAGTTTATTTTATCCAAACACACATTAATGCACTTTTTTAACTACGATGTGTACAAACACATGATAACATTTTATTACACTTTGATGCTTTGCAAAGCCGATTTATGTGGTGAAACACAAATCAGTTCCTTTTGGAACAACAACTGTAAATAACAACTGATAAGACTGAGAAAACTGAGAAAAATGAATATATCAAAAAAAAAGTTCAATTAAGGTTTTCTCACATCTCTGGGAGGACTGACAGTCTTTCGAGGTTGAGATAATAATGAACATTAGCTGTTGTCCAATGACATGAACCCCCTCTCTGAAAGCCATATAAGAGTCTGTTAACATGTCTCTGCAATATTCTCAGTAATGTTCAAGCTCTAGGAAAACATCAAGGCCTAAATCATCAATAAAAATGTCTTCCACTTCTCACTGGTTGTGGCTCTGTGTGCTCAGTCTGGTCCTGATGAATGTGAAGGAAAGTTACACTGTGGAAAAACACACCCACACCTGTGGCTCGATTAGATTGACTGACAGAAAAGGAATACCTTGGCATTATCCTAAATCCCTTATCCCAGCTTTTCCACACAGAGGCTAATTATCAAACATTAACCATAAATTATGTGTAAAAATGTCAAGTGATACTGGGGAAAACTGAGCAGACGAGGACATCTGGTGACAATTTCATGTCAATAACACCTTTACAAATATAATTACTTAGAGAATTGGTGACGTGTTCAAATATGTATTTTACCCACTGTATATCTGATCAGTTATGATGGCAAGTGTAAATAAATCAAATATCTCAGTGTCATACTAAGGTGTCATATTAAAAGGAATAGAGAGAAATTGTTCTTCAGGTCCCTTTGCTCCCCTTATGAAGTACTGTTTGTCCATGATGTGGACGGGGGGACAAATTGTGGCAGGATCAGCCTGATGTTATTTGTATCCCACTTTAACTTTGCAGTTTAAAGAGCTAACATCTCCAAAATTTCAGGTGAGTTAATCATTATAAGAAGTGTTTGTGAACAAAAAATCAAAAATGTGGGACACTGTTTGTCCGTGATTTGGACAGCCCAGCGCGTGCTCCCGACGCAGGGGAAACTAATTCTGTCGTGGAAACCTAACTTGGCACCACCATTGTGCAGGTGAAGCCAAAGGCAAGATATGCTTCATCATTTTTCCTTAATGTCCTTTTTACCCCTTTTGTAAAAACATAGAGAAATGCACCACATAAAATATTGCAAAAGGAAAAGGTTGCCTTGCATGCATATAGTGTACAAACCCAAAACACACATTTCTCCTAAAAATTAAGTTGTGCAAATGTGAACAAATCAACTTGTTACAGATATTCATCTCCGCTCAAGAAAAAAAAAAACACCCCCACAGAACAAAACTCCACCAAACACCACAATAATACACAGTAAGGCCAAATTAATAAGTCTTCTCATCAGACATTGATGCTTCTTTACTATGTGACTCAAAAAATAGGAGACAGATGTTTGTTTGTTTTTTTAAAGTTCATTCATAATAAAAACTAACTGTAAGATGTTTAACGATAATGCTGTCTGTATTATTGTTGAAGTCCTAAATTATCACCTTTAAAGTGTTTATGCTAATAACGCTGTGTACAGTAAGACAGGCATGGAGAACAGGTGGATGGAGCCCCACAGGCCTCAATGTGAGCTTGAAGCCATTTATAATGTTTAAGTTGTGTAATGTGTAGGCACTCATGATAAACAGATTTTGAATGAAATTATAGGCATTGAAGCCACTGAACCCAGTCAAAGAGGTGGTAATATTAATTTTATCAGATAAAAAGAGAAGCATTCTGGATATTTTGTTTAAAGACTTTACAACCGAGAGGCATGAATGAGGATTTTTCTATCAATGAGTTTCTGTGAAATGTACCTTTTGTGTTTGTATGTTTTTGACTAGATTTTGGTATTGTCTCCCTCTTTTAATGTTCTTGTACTCATATTAACTTTTTATTTTTATCTTTTTTATTTTTTATATTAACTTATTTGCATTTTTTGTGTCCAGAATCTATTTGTACTGTGACTTAACCAATTAGCGAATACCACCTCTTAAATGTCAATTGTTCAGGTGGTTTATCTGTGAAGGTGTGATTGGTCCATTTGAAAAAATTTCAGTTTCTTGTCTTTTATTTAAACACAAACTGTTTCACATTTTACAATGACCCTGATGAAGGCCACAAGCCGGTACGAGCTGGTCACGTAATAAACTTGTTTCTCATTACTTTAAAGTGTTGCTGGAGTCTCCGTGTTGTCAACTCATTTTATTTCTCTTTCTGATAAGAAAACTATTCAATCAGATAGTTATTTGTGGTGAATTAAATAAAGTTACAGTTTCAAACACCTTTTAGCACCACATCTGAAATTCAAGCACTTAACAAACCTTGAAAATATAGTATTAATATTAAAGCATTTTCAAGGATTTCAAGCACCCGTACGAAGCCTAATAGATTGATCTGGAGGTCAAAGTGGAAATAATTCTATATAGACCTTTTTATTAAAACTATGTTTCATACTGCCATTGTTTGCATTGACAGGATAGAGACAGTGAGAAAATGATATGTGGGGATTCTAAATACCACGTTACTTTGGACCTCTGACCTTTTCTATAAGGTCAGACTTTCCTAAAATGTATTTTAGCTTTAAAATGTGCTTAAAACTCTACTGCCTTTGTTTCTAAAAGTACATTTATAGTTTACATTTGAATATCATGTCACATTTCACACACGTCACAGTTAATCTCTGATTTTAACTGCAATACAAACGTCTCATAGCATGTTTAAAATCAACAAAGAAAACAAAATGTTTCATTTTGTTTTGGTGGTTCAGGTTTTTTTTATTGACAGTAAGATGGCCTGCCATAATCAATTTATTTCTGTGCATTTACTGTTATTAAAAAATATATTCATGTACTGTAAAACCTCACAAACTTCTATTTCCCCTGTTTAATTTATTTATTGAGTCCTGGGCTGTTTAAGTGGGTAGAACAGAACAGCAAATCAGTGCATGGGGGACATTAGAGCCAGTGTCTCTAACACACCCTGCTATAGAAAATGTGATCAAAGTTACCAGTGCATAACAGAGTGGCCAGAATCCAAACACACATTTGTCTGTACAATCAGCCTAATGACACTTAAATGAACTGGACTGATACTTTTTTAGCACCTTTCTGTTCAGTTGAACTCTCAAAGTACTTTCTACTCCAAAGCTTCATACAGCAGCATTCTTGTAATGTGATTTATTTTTGGGGTTAAGCCATGTAGAAGAGTTTCCTCACTCCTGAGAGGAAAAGATGTTTGTGGTTTGAATCTTCACAGCTGCAATATAAGTACCTGTTATTTACTTTGTGGCCACTTGAGGGCAGCAGAAGAAAAAGTCAATGTGATGCTGCTGATGTCAGATGCTTTAATTAACAGGTGTCTTATTAATACTTTAAGATCCATTGTGAAAGGTGTTGTTTGAACCATTCCTGCATGACAAATAACATGTTAGATACTCTGTACTTGTCATATGGTATTATGATGTTATCATATATATCATGAAAATTTAATAAACAACAACAACAAGACAATCGACAAGTCCACATTTTACATTACAGGTTTTATGTTATTGGAAGGTCTTGTGCTGCACAAGTTTTGACTCCTGGAGTGCTATATACGGACAAAGATTGCTAATTCAAAGTCTTCTATGAACTCAGTCTCTGAATCATTATAAAATAGGTAGCAACAAGACAATATGAGTGAAGGTTACATGAGTAACAACTAGTTTAACTGTCTAACTAAGAAGCTGGCAGCTTCTTTAGCTGAGAACCTGACAGATCTTAGAGCTTCTTCACAACATCATCATCCTCTCTGTGATGAAGAAAGCCCTCTCAGCGCCCGATTTGTTCGTGGTCCTCTTCGAGACCCCCTCATCAGTCTCCACCAGTCCATGAGTCCATGAATTTTGACGAGAGCGAAGTCAACCTCAGTGGGTTCCTGATCTTCTGACCTTTTTTCCACATCATTTTCAGATTTTGGTCTCCTTGTCCTCTTTCCGTGTCCAAAGTTTACATCAAACACCATCCTTTTAGTTTTCCTCAGTAATGCAAAAAAAAAGTTAATAATTCTAGAAAACTGAAGTAATATAAGAGTCAAGAAGAAAAGCACCTCAACATTGTATTTCCCTGTTGTCTTTAAGTTATTGTTATTCATTTATATTCCACCACTTCAGAAAATAGAACTGCGTTAAATATATAGTCAGCAAGAAACTCCTATCATAACGACAAGAAACTTGCCTTCAGGCAAAGGTTTCCCTGGCTCTAAACATAGACACGCCCACATGTCGTTTTTCGCGCGAAAAGCGGGACTAGACCATTTTGAGTAATGGGGGAAAGTAGAAATACTACTACTTCAAAACATAGATAAACCTTTTTACCAAAACCTACAAATGAGTGAGACCGTTGTGTTTTGTTATAAAGACCGTGAGTGGAGTCTTAAAGTTTAAGCAGTTGGACTTAACTATAAATTAAGCAAAAGATCAGCAAATACAAAACCCCCATGTTTGCATTCGCCGGGCTTTTCTAGCGGTTAGTTTTTAAATACACCTCTATCGCCGAGTCTCATGTAACAAGATAAAAGTTATTGTTATGCCACAGTCTGGTTATAAACAGAGTAAAATGACCCTCACGTCAAAGGTAAGTCGTAGAGCAAATCTCGTGTAAGCGTGGCTTTCTTTTGCCTGTTGGATTTTAGGGTAAAGAAAAGTCCTGCCGAGTCACTAAACGAGATCCAAAGCCGCTAACATTGGTGGCATGGTCGGCCTGAATCACTAAAGTTACGATTCGTTTTCTGAATTATATACAGGCTAGTTCAAAGGTTTCTTTTGTACATGTCATCTGGCAAACCAGCGACTTGATACGTACTCAGCTTCGGATTAGTGTTCAGGTACATTCTGAGTTTAAGGTTGTGGTAAAAATGAGCTGATGCTGGGTTTAGTTTTGTTTTTATGGGGGGGCTTCATGGGTGGGTTCCGGTTTGTTTTTCTGCGAGGTCAAAGGTCAGCTTTGCTGAAGCTGAAAGGGGTGGTTTAGCCAAACAACTGGGACATCAGCTGCTTTCCTGAGACAACGTTTTACACAGCTCATTAGATGACAGATTCATTTACAGCACGTAAAATCTGAACCTCTTCCCTACACAAATGCCTGTAAACAGACTTTACATTTGATAAGCTGCCTATAAAATTGATCTTGAAGTAGTGATGCTACTATAACATCTGATTTAAGCTGGCGGATTCTTTTATATTTACTTTATCAGTAATGGTGGAGAGATGTTTTTTCTATTGTAAAGCCCACTTCTCCATTAAAAATTTGGAAAT